AAATAAGATGGAGATGGGCAAATAGAAGATTCTTCCCTATGTTTTATTAAAGAGGACTGCCTAAAATAACATGTTTTCAAATTAAGGGCCAGCTCTTCGTCCCTTGAGATAATTAGATTGGAAATTCAGAAGAAAAGTTTAAATGGAGAGAAGAAGTGAGTATGGTTAACAAAAGAATGGAGAAGCATTTGTTAAACATTCCTGAAAGCACAGGAAGAAGACTGTTCTGCCCTGTCTATATTTATAAGTTACTTATATGTAAGGGTGTAGGTCTATACATATGTTGTATATAGTATGTTTAAATTTGTGTTATGTATGTGCACACTTTGAGAGCAAGCAACTAAATTTCATTTTTAATGTGTGCTATTGTGTGCAGAGTAAAAAATAACAATAAAGGTTATCTATCTAAATAGGATTTCTCTATTTCTTTTCTTTCTTTCTTTTTTGTAAGCCAAGGACTGTGAACTGCATGAAAAAATTAGAGAAGTGCAAAATCTAATTCTGTGCACATTTACACGTGGATCAGGAAAGTATAGATCAGTTCAATTTGCACCAGATTTCCCACTGGTCAAATTTCTTCAACCTCTTTAAGGTGATTTTGTGTCTTTATTTTTACATTTTTCCTGCTTTTCACATCATTAGCTTATCAAAATGGGTGACATGCAACTGATTATCACCCATTAACCACATTCATTAAAAAATAATAAGAACCAAAATGTGGTTCAGTTCTTATGTGGTTTTTCTCACCAGTAAGACCTCATGATGAAGTTACGTTTCAGTATGCCTGAACCCATCTCTTTTACTGTCAAAAATGTATAATAATAATAATAATAATAATAATAATAATAGTTGGAAGGTACCTTGGAGGTCATCTAGTCCAACCCCCTGCTCAGGCAGGCAACCCTGTACCATTTCGGACAAATGGCTGTCCAGTTTCTTCTTAAAAACTTCCAGTGTCGGAGCATTCACCACTTCTGGAGGCAGGTTGTTCCACTGATTAATTGTTCTCACTGTCAGGAAGTTTCTCCTTAGTTCTAGGTTGCTTCTCTCCTTGATTAGTTTCCATCCGTTGCTTCTTGTCCTTCCCTCAGGGGCTTTGGGGAATAGCTTGACTCCCTCTTCTTTGGGCAGCCCCTGAGATATTGGAACACTGCTATCATGTCCCCCCTCGTCCTTCTCTTCGTTAAACTAGACATACCCAATTCCAGCAACCGTTCCTTATATGCTTTAGCCTCCAGTCCCCTAATCATCTTTGTTGCTCTTCTCTGTACTCTTTCTAGAGTCTCAACATCTTTTTTACATTGTGATGACCAAAACTGGATGCAGTATTCCAAGTGTGGCCTTACCAAGGCATTGTAAAGTGGCATTAATACTAACTGAACAATTGCAGTGATTCACTTAATAACTGAGACAAGGAAGGTTGTAAAATGGAGCAAAAGTCACTTAACAAATGTCTCACTTAGCAACAGAATTTTTGGGCTCAAGTTGAGGATTACTTGTATTAGATCCGCTCTGCCTCCCACTAAACCTTAGAAGGCAGGCTGAGTTAGCATATTTTCTAAGATTAATAGAAAGGGTTCTCTATAAAAGTAACCAAAGATGCTTTTTTGAAGACGTTTTGCTTCTCATGCAAGAAGCTTCTTCAGCTCTGACTGGATGGTGGGGAATGGAAGGATTTATACTCCTTGCAGACAGCTGGTCATTTGCACTCTTTTAGAGAGTCGTTGAGGCCACCTGGAGGTTTACCTGTGTCATCAGGAGAAAGTCCAATTGCTTCGTGAGAAAGCACCTTTGGGACAACCATGACCTGAAAGATGGAGAATCTCCAGCTTCCCTCACAGGAGTATTGCGGAATAAAAGGATGGTAGAGCTCTATTTAATTACCTTGTGGTCCTGAAGTATTCACAGGATATAAATCTAACAAAGACCATCGTGATGGTTACAATAATAATAATATCAATAGAATTATGACATTCTATTCAAAAGGAGAATATATAGGACATTTCTTTCCATCATTATCGTCTTTGCAAACTCCTCCTTTTTAATTCTACTCTTACAAAATAGAACTGTTCTCAGAAGGCAAATAGCAGATAACTAATGTGACACTGTCTCTAATAAAATGTCTGAAATGGACTTTGGTTAAAAGTAATTGGATTCTATAATAGCTCTTATGTTAATGTTGTTTCAACTGCTCTAGTTAAGGCCATTAATTTTGCTCTCATATATTCCCATTTTCAGCGGTGTCTCTGAATATTAGGTAAACATTTGTTTCTGATAGAATCCATAATGATTTGTCCAGGACATTTTCCTTTTATTGTTAACTCCCCTCTCCAATTATTCCCTGAAATTTAATTTTTGAAAAAGAATAGTATCACATGTGTTAATAGAAGAGCTCCTTATTTAATTGGATTCATAAATAGGGAATTAATGCTGTACAGTGCTTAGAAATTCCCATTGCCATTTCAGAGCTCCCAAATTGATCCATGAGTTTTTATGGCCTCTCTGATAATATTTTATTGGATTGTTTGTTTTTTTTTAATTTGCACACTTGTTCAAGAAAGATGTGTTCTCTCAGAATAACCATCTTTGAAAGCAGTGCTGCTCTTGAACTGTTCATTCTGGCATTCTTCACCTGAATTTCTTCCTACACTATATACATATATACATATGTAGGTCTTTGGTCATTCGGGTTTTCTCCTGCGTCAAATTGGAAGTGTCTTGGCGACGTTTCGACGAAGTCTCATTCGTCATCTTCAGGCTGGTGTTTTCGGCTTCGTGCTCCTAGAAGCACGAAGCCGAAACACCAGCCTGAAGATGACGAATGAGACTTCGTCAAAACGTCGCCAAGACACTTCCAATTTTACACGGGAGAAAACCTGAACAACCAAAGACCTACATACAAACACCCGCGAAAACCTCAGAAAACAAACACACACATATATATATATATATATATATATATATAAAATGTTTATATTGGTTTATATTGGTTTAGATGTAGATCGGAATTGGACATGCTTCTTGAAAAAGTAATAAGGATTCTTTAGTACAGAAGTCATTTTTTTTTAAATTTGAAGGCTGACAACACTGTGAGGATAATCCTTTTCTCCCCCTAGACTTTAACTATAGAAATTTTAAATATTTTAAAGTTGTAGATTGTCCCAAAGATGCTTTTTCAAAAGACAACTGGACTTTGATTTTCTTGAAAATGTTTTACTTCTCATCCCAGAGGCTTCTTCGGTTCCGAACAATTTCAAGAAAAAATGAAGTCCAATTGCCTATTGAAAAAGCATCTTTGGGACAACCATGACCTGGATGACTGAGAATCTCCATAGACAAAATTGTAGATTGTTGTGTAGTTTTTTTTTTTGTGTAATTGTTTTTTTTCTCATTTTGTTTTCTCATTACTATGTATTCAGTATCACTTGCAGGAAAATAGTGGGTTGTGGAGATTAATTAGATTAAATTCTGTTAAATATTTATTAAGGTGGTGATAAAATAAGAGCAGATTTACAGAATTGTTTGCCCTCCAGTTTTCTGAGTAATTGGCTGCTTTTGATTTCTAGAAAGCGTGGCAAACTCTTTTCTTACATAAACCTTGTAAAAAGGATGGATGACGGCTATTCAAAATTAAAATATGAAGTATAAATTATGGAAACACCATTAATATTTTTCTGGCATCTCTTTTAAAGTTAAAGTGTCTAACACTACTAACGCTAAGCTAGCTAATGTTTCTAATGTTAATTTAATAGAGAACCAGTTAGACATAGTGATGAAAACAGCAAGCTAGATACCAAGAGATTCTGAATTCTATCCTGCCTTGGACACAAAGCCAGCTGAGTGATCTTTAGCCCTAGGAAGCAGACAATGGCAAACCTCTAATGAAATTTTCCCATAAGAACTGCGGGCATTTCTGCAGGAAATCACCAGCAGTCAAGACTGACTCAAGGGCACACCCTACACCCCCCCACACACACAAACACCCCTAATATTGAAGTTCACCTGAGCAGGATATACCATCCATTCTAGATGAAAAGAAGGAAGATCACTGTGGACATTTTGGGAAGCATTACACACACTTTTTTCTCTCCCTTTGCTGTTGCCAAACATCATTTCTTCCCAGAAAGTCTTTAGTGATAGGACAAGATAGCAGAGGCAGCATTCTCATTGTCGCTGGCAACAGGGCAGTATAAGCAGTTTAATTTCTGTGCCTTTAAAGTGGGGAGGTAATTTTACCTGGATGGAGCACTAACCTAGCCACAAAAATTAGATAAAAAGCAGAGACATCACCCTGTCAACAAACATACGTATAGTCAAGACCATGGTTTTCCCAGTTGCAATGAATGGCTGTGAAAGTTGGACCGTAAGAAAGGCTAAGCGCCAAAGAATTGAGGCCTTTGAACTCTGGTGCTGGAGAAGACTCCTGCGAGTCCCCTGGACTGCAAGGCGATCAAAACCAGTCAGTCCTAGAGGAGATCAACCCTGACTGCTCTTTAGAAGGCCAGATCCTGAAGTGGAAACTCAAGGACTTTGGCCACCTTATGAGAAGGAAGGACTCACTGGAGAAGAGCCTAATGCTGGGAAAGATGGAGGGCAAGAGAAGAAGGGGATGACAGAAAATGAGGTGGCTGGATGGAGTTACTGAAGCAGGAGGCGTGAGCTTAAATGGACTCCAGAAGACAGTAGAGGACAGGAAGGGCTGGAGGAACATTGTCCATGGGGTCGCGATGGGTCGGACACAACTTCGCAACTACCAACAACAAAAATCGCCATTGGGTTTAACTTTTTGTTTCTTTTGTATTGCAAGTGTATACCTGTATTGCAAGTATTTCTGTGTGGGTAAATAACAGGCTGCATAAACCAGTTTGATTTGCATCTCAAGGGCATTTGAAACATATGGTTGTAGTAGGAATTCCTTAGGCATCTTCATAGAGGAGAACTTTTTTTAAAAAATGTCTTTGACTGTTTCTGTTAGCTTCCCTTTTTTTTTCTTTTTGCAGGTTTACAGGAACAAATCTTCCTGCTCCTGTAATCAGCAGCAAAAACTGGCTTCGTCTTCACTTTCTGTCAGATGGGAACCACAGACAGAAGGGTTTCAATGCACAATATCAGGGTAAGTTGCAGGATCCTAACTAGCTCTAAGGCTGCCACTTTCAAAATCTGTTTCAACTACAGTAATTCCTAAAATGGATTGCGGATGCACATGGCAATTTTCTATTCTAATTATTTTCCTTCTCTATGTTTCTCATGTGCATTGACTAAAATATTGGGACAAACTGTACAAATGTCAGCATGAGAAATTGCTATTCCAGCAGCTTTATTCTCACTCAGTGGATGTGGTTGGTGACTTAATAATATAGAAAAACGGCATGCACTTTCCCTCTCGTACAACTGAGAGATGGGTTATAAATAATAATCATTTGTACACATCCTTCCTAATACTCGCATTATGTATGTAATTTTGGGAACAAAAACTGCATTTCAAAACTCAAGAGAAATGTGCAGTTAAAAAATAACAACCATCCCAATCCATTAGTTGGATACTGCAAATTTTGTTGGTTTCCTTAAAAATATTCATCAAATACACTCCCCCCCCCAGCCTATTTCTAATATCGTACCACTTCCTCCTACACTGTGTTTTGCTACTGCATTCTTGAAAAGAGAGTAATTCAGTTTGACCTTTATGCACGTGTAAGAAATTTTGATGCAGCCAGTATATAATTGCATCAAGTTTACTTACTTCCAGTTCCGCATCAGAGAATAAATAATAATGGCATTCTGGGAGAAAATGAAAGACACAGGAATCAACAGGTATCAAACACCAGTACCACAGAAAAGAGAGTTAATAGGGGCTTTGAATTATTGTACAATACCATTATTTTCAGCTGCTAACAAACTAACATTTAGGTCATCCAATGCAGATTAGAGCCCAACATGGAAAGCATGATGTTCAAGACGGTTTCAAAAAGGTCTGGGGAACAAGATGGAATGGAATGGAATTCTTTATTGGCCAAATGTGATTGGACACACAAGGAATTTGTCTCCAGTGCATAAGCTTTCAGTGTACATACAAACAAAAAAAAGGGATGATGTATAGTGTATATGTGAAAGACAAAGAATTCCAAAAATAAATCAATGTCTACTTCATTGATTACAGAAAGGCATTTTTGTCCATGCTGTGATAGATGATCTCAAAGGTCCCTTCCTATCCTTAGACTGTAAGATTTGAAACTCCCCATTCTCATTATTTCCTCTGTCAATCCTTTTTTTCCCTCCAATACTTTTTTTTGGGCCATTAAAGCCCATGATTCAATAAGCAGCAGTGTGTTAGGAAGTCTAAAATTCTGAAATAATTCCTGTATCCCCCCCCCCATGTATGTATGTATGTATGTATGTATGTATGTATGTATGTATGTATGTATTTAGCTGATTTCCTAAATTGGTTTGAAGGAAAAACATGGCTCCAGCCTCATCTATAGGCGGGGGTAATGACTGACATCAGACTGATGAGAACAGCATTGCAGCCTCACAACACAAGCTTCACCACTTTGTATGTGTGTTCCAATTTTGCATGCATGCTGACAATGGGCAGAACTTACAGCATAATGCCATAATGATGCTTCTCTCTTTCTGACGAAAGCAACAAGATCCTGCTCATACTCCTGGCTTCATCTGACTTCAAAATCTGAATCATTATTTGCACAAGCTGGGACACTGGGCACACTCTCCCCTAAAAGTCTCTTGGTGTACACATAGCTTCTTTTGCACATACCCCCCCCCTCCAAAGCTCGGAGAAACATATTAACAATATATAACTAAATCAAATTTAGGTTTTATTCATACTCCCTCTTTTATGTCATTCTACAGAAGGCAGCTCCTGTGGTGCCTCTTACAAGGATGAGTGTGGTTATTGCCCAAAATGACATTTTACAGACCCCCGATGTTACTTTGTCCTGTTGAATACAGATATGTATTAATTCAGTCCATGTTCTCATCTCCCTCCTCTAATAGTCAAGCCGACCGGATTAGGCACTTTATGAATCATCTTTCACATTTAATATGTTGAGCTATTGAGTCATAAACTTTCAGTTGAACATCGCTTTGTAGACAGGATGTTGTTGAGTTAAAAAAAAAGGAAAGAGAAATCAGTCATGATTACTACTGTGCTATTAAAAGTACACCTGCTTGAATCATGCCTTCAAAAAAAAAGTTTTAAAAAAATAATGTGAAGTAAAGATTTTTGCTGTAATTTCCTCTCTGATTAAGGCAAATGTCAGAAAGTTGTAACCCAGTGATTTTGGTAAACAACATTTCCCCCCCCCACCAACATAATATTTAAGTGTTTGCTATAAAATATAAGTTTCCAAGAAGTGGAAGTGCCAGAGGATATAAAGGATTAAGAACAAATGTCTTATTGTTATTTTTTTAAAAGACTTCTGATTATTTTAAAGGCATTACTTATCCTTACGAAAGACAAATGTTTGACTTTTCAAAAGCAAACAATAGAGGTTGAAGTTATAAGTATTTGAGGACTGATTATTCTTGATCCTTCCATTTTCCGCTCAAGTCACCTTTCCAAACTTTTTCAGAAAGCCAGAGTTGGTAGCCATTTCAATCCTTAGCTTCTATTTTGTGATCCATTTTAATTCTTCTTTTTCTTATGCCATATCCGTTTTTGGACATTGGCGATCATGCTGGCGATCCTGTTTTTATCAACAGCCGCACGAAAAAGTGCTGCTGAGTTTTGTCCAAACCAGTCCCTTAGATTTTGAAGCCACGATGTTCTTCTTCTGCCTGGACCTCATTTGCCTTCAAACTTTCCCTGGAGGATTATACAGAGTATGCCATATTTTTCTGGGTGTCACATCACATGTCCAAAATATTCTAATTTTTATTTTTTAATTGTTTTCATGATTTCCCTTGGCTTTCCCAGGCGGCTTATCACCTCCTCATTTCTGATCTTGTCAACCCAGCTTATATGTAACAGCTGCCTATAAATCCACATTACTTTCCCCCAATTAGCTCTTATTCTTAAGATTTGCTAAATTTCATAATATTTGATTGAGCTCGCTCAAGCAACCCACTGCAAATCAAATGAGAATGTCACAGTCTCATCATAGCTAATATTAGTGTCGGTAGCTTCTTACGTTTCATTGATCAGATCTAGAGAGATCTCAAGATTCTGCACATCTTAATTTATGGAGGGTTGCATGTGTTTAGGCAAATGAGGGGCACCATGGTGTCAAAGGTAAAAGAAAACTATTGGAAGTGTATCTTCCCTTGGTTTGTATGTTGATGTATGTGTGTGTGTGTGTGAGAGAGTAAAATAATAAAATAATATTTTTAATATTTAATATTCAATGTGGTGCTTTTTTTTTAATATTTAAATATGTTATATGTTCTGAAATGGTACATCAATGATAACATTTCACCCTACACCTTTTTGTGTTTAATGGGGAACTTTCATGGTTGATTTGTATGAAAGTGATTTGTTGGTATTGCTTGGAGAGATGGCAAGCTGGTCAATCAATGAACTTTTGTGTTAACTGGCAAGTCATTGACCGAGATGGGTGGCCATAGAAATCAAACAAATAAATATATAAATTGCAAAGAAGAACAGGAAAAGTCCCCCAGTGCTTTGTTTCTTCCGGAAACATAATTTGGCTTTCCAAATAATCTTAGAATTAACTGGTCAGGTGAAATGCCTTCTTTTCTTGTAGCTTCTGCTTTTGTTGAATCTTCTTCTCTTGCATTCCCTTTTTAGTCAAAAAGCAAATGGAGATTAAGTCCCGGGGAGTGAAACTGATGCCAAGTAAAGACATGAACCAGAAGACATCTGTGTGTAAGTTTCAACCACCATTGCATGTTGAGTGAGACTGAGCACCTTGAACATCCCATATGACTTTCCAGCAATCACCAGAATGATGCCACTCTTTTTCAAAATGGTAATGCTTGTTCTCCCCTCCTACCCTGCATTATTGCCTCACCTGCTCCGTTTAGTGTTCCATTCGCAAACACATACTAACTCTGTAAGGGATGCCTGTGTGAGAGTGTGTGTATGTGTGTGCCCGTGCGCGTGCACAGTGGAGTGGACCATATGCTGTACATATTGTTAGGAGTCCTCTGCAGGACTGCAGGGATGTTGATTTCTCATCTGTATGCCATGCACTCTACTAAGTAATTCAGACAGAAACAAATACACGTTTGACAAACACAAATGTCAGAAAGCTTGGGTCAATTGTTCAAAAACAAACAATGAAAGAAAACAATAATCTAAAACACGGTCAGGCTCCTTTTCCTTTCCTGATATATTAAATGTCATTGGGTCTATCTACTGCACATTTTCTTAATAAAGAAGCAATAGCTTTTGGACATTCCAGAAATGGGGTGTATGTGTGTGTGTGTGTGTGTGTGTGTGTGTGTAAAACCATATGTTATTTTGTGTCTGAGATCTACATTTTCTTAGGGACCAAAGAGTCAAAGACAAGACCTCTGTTTGCATGAATTGTCGAGGCAATGGGTGGCATTTAGGAAGGAACACGATGGTCTGTAGCTCAGGTTCTAATGTAGAGTTATACTGTCCTTCTCACCTCTGCAATGTTTTAGTCTGATTTTTTACATAGAAAGGATCTTCAAGACACTTGTTTTTTCCGCACATCTCAGAGTAGCCTTATTTCTTAAGTAACTTTTGGGGCACATTTCCCACAAACACCGGCTACTAACTGTGTTTTTTCATTAGACGTAGAAAAAAGTGAGCCCTTTTAAGAACGGGAGGAAGAACTCACTCCTATTCAACAAGTTCATTGAACGTGGACATTCTGGGTCTTTATTCCATCTTGTTCTCCATCAAAGATGAAAAGACAGTAGGAAAGAAAATGTGTATTTACTGCTTGTCCAAGTGATCACTTCTGCTCTATTGCTCAGCTCTAGTTTTTCACCTGTTATTGTACAAATTAGCTGTAGATGATCTGATAATGGAAGAGTTGAGGAAGAGTGAGGACTTTTCAAGCTCTTAATATTTTCACTGTAGATAACATTTAAAGAACTTGAGAGCTGTTCTTACTGTGAAGAGAGTTTAAAAAACCTTCTCAAGATGCTAAGATATTTCACAGCTCAGATTGTTATATTTTGTAAGCCACCCATTGACTGAGAAAGGCAGCAATAGAAGTTGAATGAACGAACAAACGAACAAACGGATAAATAAATCTTGACTGGTTTTATCTTTCTCAATTCAAAAACCTACCATGGATGACCCAATCTATTACAAACTGCTCTGTAAACTATTCCAAACAGAAGTTTACGTCAGAAAACTTGCAAGTTTGAGAAATGGAAATGAGAGTTTCAGATGTGTTTAACTACGTTTAGATCTTGATATGAGAGAATAAGTTGGCATCTCACTTCCTTCAACTCCTGTCTAGCAACGTTTCAGAAAGGGAAAAGTTCCTCTTAGCATGTTGGTTATACTTGATTTTATGGGTTTTGAATTCCCATGTTTCAGGAAAGAGACTCATATTACAATCTTGAATACATTAATGAACATTTTCAGTAAAGCAGCTTTGGTGCGACAACTCTTCTCTTTCTATAAGAATGTCCATAGTGTCAGGTACAGTAATTTAAAATTTGAGGAAAAACAAGATCATAGTTGTAGTTGTTAATAATCTTCCCAGTCAGCTTTGGTGTTTTTGTGTGTATGTGCTTAGCATTGTTGTACTAAGTTACCCAAATACCTAATACTTCCTTCCTAGAGAAACATAGATATAAAGGTAAATCCTTCTCCTTCAATATGCTTTAACATTGACGGATAACATTTCTGGGGTTCTTCCTTTCACAAGGTTGTTATAACCAATTGTGGACCCATGACTGGTTTTGATTTGGGGAAACAATTTTTATTCATAGGCAGCCTCTTTACCATAGCTTCTTTTGAATTTAGAGCCGTCTGTGAGCGGGATGGGTGGTTGAGAAGTTTGATATATAAACATAAATAAATAAATATTGTATTGCAGTGATTTTAAGCCCTGAATTTTGCAATGAATGTTTGACATATGCAGCATGTGGAAATGAGCAAATCTGTTGATCTCGGTTTTAGTCAGATTATTTTCCCCTGTAATAGATTTATCCCTTGCCCTCTATTTCTGTATCAGTTTGTTTGGGGAGAAAAGAGAGGGAGACCCATGTGAAAAATATTGACACAAAATATTGTGGCTATTTCTGTGCTATAATTCGGATGGAGTGGAGGGGAAGGAGAGGGGGTGCTTTTTCTAGCATGCATACTTTTGCAAATGACTATCCATAAAATAAGGTGTACTCTAGTGCTTACATAGCATCAAAAACTTCAGCATGTTTGCATATGGATTCAGACCAAATAAATCTCTATTCCCTCTCTAATGACATGTTCCTCTGCCCTCATTGTGTTCACCCTTGTCGTGTTTCTATTGCATCTTGGTATGGCCGAACTGTTGAATCCAGATGTTGAATCAGTAGTGCATCTTCTGCAACTGTCACCTTTCTGACTGCAGCAGCAAAGATTGACCTTGATAAGGGAATTTGTTTTAATTACACACAAAAGATATTTAATATGCATCAGTCTCTTTGGGCTGAACTTGCAAGAAAGCATGGAATCATTGTTTCACTATGTCACTAGTAAACTGAGCAAACAAACCAATGGAAGTGTGGGAAACTCTATTTTCTAGAATGGATCCTTGAGAAGCAGTTACGTATGAAGGATATTAGAGACTTGAAATCAACTCCCCTTACAGAAATTGCAGACATCTGATTCTCACCATTTCTAGTGTAGAAAGGAAATATTTAAATGTTTTCTCTGATGCAGCTGGCAATCTGTTTTCCTGGTCATATTTTGTTATTACTTTTACCAATATTTCCAGATAGGTGTTGAAAATAAAACAAGCAAATTAAGTCTTGAAGCCTCACATGCTGATGGAAGTCATACTTGTGATTTGACCTATATTAAGATGAGTAATGATTACACGATTATTGTTTGCATTAAATCCAAAGAGAAAGGTTATAACTGTTTCTTTTATTGAATTTCTGAAAATTAAAAACACATATTTAGCAAAAGATACAATATGTGGTTGACAGAAACTTTCATGCTTTTCTAACTGGATGAAAAAAAACCTGATGTTTAGTTATGATTTGTTTTCATAGATACTGCTTTTCAAATGCAACTTTAAAAGATTATTTGGAAAAGACCTCAAGGACTGAAGAATTATAATCAATTGTTTCAGAATGTGCTTTCCGGCTGAGAATATTTTAAAACCAGTTGAAATGCTTTGCCAACGTATATAGATTAGGATAAATTTGTCTGAGATGACATCTTAGCCATATCCTGAACGTGATTTGCTTCTGAATCCCTGCGGACAATTTCTAGAACAGATTGGTTTAAGTTATAGCATTCTTGCATACTGGCTTATGACAGTGAAGAAAACAAAACAAATGCTTAGCAAGATAATTGTTGTTTTCATAGTGGTTGAAAAATTAAATTAATAAAAGCTGAGAAGTGAAGATTAAATATGTAACCAACCAGGCTTTGCTTTTTGTGTTTTAGAAAATGGCACAGTTTGCCTTTTGCCACCTAGCAAAATATTTTTTTTTCCAAGCCGATAGATGGTTGAAAAGAAATTATATAAAAGGGGTCAGGACTCTGAGCATTCATTTATCTGTCCATCGACATAATAATTCTCTGAACCAGGAACAGACTGAAATGAAAGATTAAAATTTAAAATGGTCTGGATGAGGGGTGGTCAGCTATGGTCTTTTACAACCTGTAGACTTCAGCTCTCAGAATTCCTGAGCAACGACTCATAAAGAGGCCATAATTGCTCACCCCTGGTTTGGCTCAAACTGAATGCTGGGGAGTGGAGGAATTTTGAAAAAAAAAAATCACCAATATGTTTTTTATTGGGTCACAACTCAAAATGCTGGTAAGCCTCTTCCCGCCTCCTCTTATGATCCAGACTGGAGCACTGTAGGCCACCACCCGAGTTTCACTATATATATGCCTGCATGCACACAAGCGCTCACAGATAAAATATGTCATTTGATTGCAGAATAAAATTATATAGGTGTCTCCTATGTCAGTTCTGGAAAAGAAAATGGCATATCCCCAGTTATCCCCAGCAAGTCATTTTTAGAACTGCAGAAATTGCTCAGAAATACGGCATAGGCAGCTGGATAGGCAGCTACTCAAGACAAGTACTTAAAATTCCATGCCATTAGCCCTGTTAAATATATTATCATCCCTATGATATTGCACCACGTTTCGTTTCAGACAGGGCAAAAGTCCAAGATACATTTAACATAGTGGGACCCGATTGATCCTTTTTTCTTCACAAGAAAATTAAAGTATCTGGTCTCCGTTTGCAATACAGGTCGTCCTTGACATATGATGACAATTGGGAGCAGAACTTCCGTCACTGAGTAAGGCGGTTGTTAAATGATTCATGCCTGATTTTACATCATTTTTGGTGCCGTTGTTTAAGTGGACTGTACGGTTCTTAGCAAATTTGGCTTCTCCCATTGAATTTCCTTATTGAAAGCCAACTAGGAAAGTCACAAATGATAATCATGTGTCCCAGGGACACTCAACTGTCATGTCCATGCCATTTGCCAAGTGCCTGAATTCTGACCATGTGACTCTTGGGATGCTGCAGTGGTTATAAATGCAAGGACCAGTCATAACTCACTTTTGTGAGTGCCACTGTAACTTCAAAAGATGACTAAACTAATGGTTATAAATCAAGCATTACCTCTAAGCTTCAATCTCACATGATCCTGGAAATTCAGTATCCATGTGGGTTAATGCATTGCAGTTCTTCCCACAGTGGT